ACACACACACACACACACACACACACACACACACACACACACACACAATTAAACATAAAACTAATTTTTTAAAAGGCCTAGCATGGAGCCATAGTTATAGATCTGAAAGCCTGGATGATATTCAAGATGAGTCCTTGTATAACCCTGGTGGCCTGCCAGCTTTGTAACCTCATGAATCCACGAGGAAAGGAGCAAAACAAGGCTTGGCGGTAGCAGAGAGGCATGGCTCCACACTGTTGTCTGTAGCCACCCGAAGAGCGATTCCTTAATCACTTAAGGGGCCTCAAATCAGGTGAAGCCAGCTCTGTGACTTCCTCACAGAAAGGAATTTCAGGATGAGCCACCACAGAGCAGACTGGGAGTTTATTAAAAGATTTTAATATAGATTCTAAGCACTGGGGTTTAAAAGAAAGAGGCTCCTCGGAGAGTGAATGAGACATGACAGACTGGGTGTGGACTTTCCAAGGAAGACCCACACATCGCTTCCTTCACAAACGGTCACATAGCTAGGACTTTGGGATGAAAAACATCTCGTTTACTTGTTTTGCTGGGCACGGAGGTATGTACTGCTGCATGTGTCAAATCAAGGAACAGCTTTTGAGAGGCGGCTTTTGCCTTCCACTGTGTAGGTACCAGGGTCTGAACTTGGGGAGATGAGCCTGGCCGCAAGTGCCGGAACCTGCTGAGCCATCTCACTGGCCCAACTTGAGGGATTTTTTTTTTTTTTAAGTTGTTATTTTTCAAAGGGTTGCAAGGAATCTAACGAGTGTGGCGATGGGGTTGGGGGAGGGTTGAGGCAAAGCTGGAACTAACAAGTTAAAGGTGTAGCTCACAGGGATGCCGGAAGTCATGACATCCTCAATGTGTGTAAAGTTAATAATCACGTCCGTGAGGGTCTCAGGAAACATGTGGAAGAGGAGTGGGGCTCTGTGCTCGGCCGCACATTGGGGCCCTTAGCCTGGCTTCCTCCTCGGTACTGACAGCCTGTATGGGAACTGTGCTCCTGGAGTCCTAGTTCTCAGCCGCAGAGAGGCTCCAAGCAGACTCCACAGTGAGGGCCTCCTTTTCTTCCATGTCTGTTCTCTCTCCTGCCTCCAGGTCATCCTGGGTGGAGGAAGCACTACCCTTCGCAGCTGGGCGGGCGGACCCTAATGCCTGACAGGGAGTAGTTGCTTTGTGGGGACCCTACAGGCCCCGGGAGGTGACAGTAATACAGCACAGCTGTCTGCATCCCTGGTCCAGGTGACCCGGTCAGTGGGTTGTGGGAGCTTGGAGTTGTACAGGCCTGGAGCCACCGCTGGCTTTCCTCTGGACCAGCCTGGTTCCCCTGTCCTTCCCACTCACGCCCTCTCTCAGTCACAGTCGGTAGCAGACCCAGACAGAGCTGTGAGTTAAGGCCCTCTTCCTTCCTCGAGGCACATCCTGGTTCCCCGAGGCCCTGCTCTTGGCGGCAGCTGCGGAGACGCAGTTGTGCTATTCCTCTTCCCCTCTGTGGCCCCCGTTAGCAAATGGGCCTCGTCTCTAGCCCCCCCTCCCCCGCTGAACTGTGTTGGATACATGTCGCACTCTAGTACTATCCCCTCGCACTGGTGACACCGTCTTCCTGGCCTCCAGGGCCAACACGACACAGCGGCTCTTTTCTGAGGAAGCACAGGGAATCCTCCTGTCGCTGGGGCAGGTGGGAGGGGTAAGAAAAGCCTCTTTGGGCTAAAAAGATGGCTCAACAAGTAACGGTTCTTGAGCGAAGCCTGACAGTGTGAATGAGTTAACACCGCAGGTCCCCCGTGGCGGAAGGGGAGAGTCCAGGCCTGTGGCTCGTAGCCAGTGTGCCCCTCAGTGATCAACAGATAATAAAGACGTACTAGCTAAAAAAAGTCTCTCTAGACTCTTCACAGTGACAGGGACGGAGCGAGGGGCGCGTGTCAGCAGAGACACAGCGTCCGGGATGTGTGTTCGAGGGAGCGGGCTGGGAGAGGAATGAGTGGGCCTGTGCTCTTGTGTCGACTCTAGTGAGTAAAGAAAGTCACTCAGAACATTCGTGTGCACAAAGCTGCCGCTGTCCCCTGACCCCTTCGGCTTGTCCGGGTCGGGGGTCTCTCCTGGCCCGGGCCTCCGGAGCTCACCCTGCCTGTGGCTGTGGCCGTGGCCGGGCACTCACTCACGCACCCTGTTGCCTTGTACCCTCTGGTGCAGGTGGTCCTTCCCACGTTCATCCTGGAGAAGCGCTCCTTGCTGGAGATGTACGCAGACTTTATGGCACACCCCGACTTGCTGCTGGCCATCACGGGCGGGGCGACGCCCGAGGAGAGAGTCATTAGCTTCGTGGAGTATTACCTCACGGCCTTCCACGAGGGCCGCAAAGGCACCCTGGCCAAGAAGCCCTACAACCCCATCATCGGCGAGACCTTTCACTGCTCCTGGGAGGTCCCTAAGGACAGAGTCAAGTCGAAGTGGACTTCCTCCAACTCTCCCCTCAGCTGTCAGGAGCACCCGGTGGCCGACGACCCCTCTCAGAGCTATAAACTCAGGTTTGTGGCTGAGCAGGTGTCTCACCACCCGCCCATCTCCTGCTTCTACTGTGAGTGCAAGGAGAAGAGACTGTGTGTCAACACTCACGTATGGACCAAAAGCAAGTTCATGGGCATGTCCGTGGGGGTCTCTATGATAGGGGAAGGTAAGCTGACGTGGGGAGCCGGTGTCTCCCATGGTCCCTTGCACTGAGATGAGCGGTGGGCGCTCTTGTGCATAGATTTTCTTTGTAAATGGGGGTGGGTGGGCAGGGAAGAGGGACAGATGTTGGACCAGTGGTCCCAGGTGACGGATGGACGGGAGGGGTCGCAGCATCTAGCTCAGACGGTGCTGTTGCACACACTCTTCCTCATTGGGTCCATGGATGGAAGGGCCGGCCCTAAGGCTGTGACCACGCCTGAGGAGGTCATGGTGGAGCTGGCCCTAAGTGTGCAGACCCTCACCAGCCCTCTGGCTCCCACACCATGAGGATAACAGAGTTGCCTGCTGAAAGCTGCTCATGCGAGCCCCTCAAGGCCAGACTCTGGTTCTACAGGGACCGAGAATAGGCTGATCGTCCTAAGCAAACCTGGGAGTGGTTTGTTCGTTGTGTGAAGAAACCCAACAAGTCCTGTGAAGTCATTAGTATTTATTTAACTCCCTTTGAGTCACATCCACTTGAGACTCTACAAACTCTACAAGTCTCATCCCAGAAAACAAACAAAACTAAACAAAATCCCACATAGTTTTACTTTCAGCCTCTTGGCTTCTTGAGAGCCCTTCTCAGATCCCATCATTGAAGGATGCTTTTGCTGTGAGCATTTATGTCTTTCAAAATTATTATATATGTATTATATATGTGTATATTTCTATATAGTGAGAGAAAGGGAGACTGAATGGGAGAAAAAGGGGGATGGATAGAGTGAGAGGGAGAGGGGGAGGGAGATGGAGAAATGACAGCTTGCAGAATGTGGCTCCCTCTTTCCACCACGTGGGTGCTGGGGAATGTACTCAGGTCTTCAGCTTTGGCGGCAA